AAAAAAAATCGTCCATATAATAAATTATTATATAATCATTATTCAAAAAAAGTATCACCAATGATAATGATTGCCCGTATGGCATTATTATTAATCATAGCAATGATAATTATAATAGCATTTATTTGGTTTACAAATTTATCATCAATGCTAATACAATATAGTTGGAAAGAAAAACCCGTATTCATATTGTTTGATGAATCAGAATTGAATCCAAAAAATATGACGGCTACTACCATTATCAACCAAAACGACAAAAATTGACTATTTAAACCCATGTAACGATGTGTAATGATTTATACTAGACGAAACTATTACAATTCGTTCCATCAACAACAAAAAAAAAAATGACCATGTTTTCGACGTTCATCATTTTCATCATCATATCATCCATATTCGTAATAGTTATGGCTATCAATTTATCTGAATCAAAAGATTATTCAAAAATGAATATTCAACAATTAATTGATGAATTAATTGCGATAACAAATGAAAATAATCCTGAACAAATTCAATCAATAATCAATCAATATTTATTGATACGACAAAATTTTTAACATGAAAATCTTTTTATTTTTTGATTCAAAAATTGAATTGAAATTTCTGTAAGTTTTTTTGTTGATTTGTACAATTTGATTTAATAATAATAAAAAATAACAACGACATTTTCTCAATATGGACGCCATAATCGATTTCTTATTGATGATTGATTCGTCGATGATGATTGTTGTTGTTGTTGATGTTTTATTGTTGATGAACGTTCCAGTTGATGATGCGGTTGTTGTTGTTGTTGTTGTTGTTTTTGTAATGCAGCCTGAAACATCATTTGTAATTGTAATTTTAATGATTCATTTGTTGTTGGCGGTGGTGGTGTTAGTAATGATGTATGCGGAATAATTGATGATCCATTGTTTATTTGTGACCAAAGTAGATAGGATTGTGCTGCTGCTGCTAATGACATTGATTGAATTGATTGTGATCCATCAATCGATTTTGATTGCTGTTGAACAACATCGGTGGTTACTGTTGATGTAATTTTCCTCGAAAATAAATTGGTTGTTGGCGATAAAGATGATTCATCATCGGCTAATGACGGACCATGATGATCATCATCAAATGAATCCACATCTAAAGTCATCGATTCAATCGGTGATTCTATTAATGATGATAAAAGTAATCAAGAAAAAACAAAAAAAATCAATTAATCTAAACATCATCATCACTTATCATCAAACAAAATCAAAAAACATGCGGCGATTATCTACGATTAAGAAAAAAACAATCACCCTGTAGTAAAATTATCAAATTCTTTCCGTTGAATTTGCAGATATTATTCAAAAGATTATGTAAATTTTCCTTATTTTTTTTTTAAATCTTGGTGGTTGTTGTTATTGACGCTGTTGTTTTTGTTTTCTAACTTGGAAAAAGAAAAAAATGACCAAAGAGAAAAAAAAATCATTTTCAGGTAAAAATTTTGTCACTGATAATGATGATGATCATCAGTGCATTATGTGGTCAACCAAGCGAATTGAAAAATTTTCCAAAAACAAAAAACCAGCAAATCAAATTTTGTGTGATCATTCGCTTCAATGATAATGATTATTCTCTCTCTCTCTCTCTCTCTCTCTCTCTCTCTCTCTCTCTCTTTGTCTCTTTTTTTTATGATGATTTGTGTGGTAACCCCTGTA